ATGCTTGCTCCTTGGAAGAAAAGCTATGACCAACCTAGACAGCATATTAAAAAGCAGAGACATTACTTTACCAACAAAGGTCTGTCTAGTCAAAGCTATGGGTTTTTTCAGTAGTCATGTATGGATGTGAGAGTTGGAATATAAAGAAAGCCGAGGGCCAAATAACTGATGCATTTGAACTGTGGTATTGGAGAAGACTCTTGAGAGTCCCTTGGACTCCAAGGAGATCCAACCAGTCCATCCTAAAAGAAATCAGTCTTGGATATTCATTGGAAAGACTGATGCTGAAGCTGAAACTCCAATATTTTGGCCAGCTGATGCAAGGAACTGACTCATTTGAAAAGACCCTGATGCTGGGAAAGATTGAGGGCAGGAGGAGAAGGGGACGACAGAGGATGAGATGGTTGGATGGCATCACCAACTAGATGGACGTGAGTTTGAGCAAGCTCCGGGAGTTGGTGATGGACAGGGAAGCGTGGTGTGTTGCAGTCCATGGGGTCACAAAGAGTCAGACACAACTGAGTGACTGAACTGAACTGAACTGAACTGATACCAAAAGACAATTTTGTGGCTTCCAAATTTTGTAATTATGAATAAAGTTACCATAAATGTACATGTATAGGTTTTTGTAGTGGATGTAAGTTTTCAGTTCATTTGGGTAAATACCAAGGAGTGCAGCTGCTTGATCATATGGTGAGAGTATGTTTAGTTCTGTAAAAAACTGTCAAACTGTCTTACAAGGTGGCTGCACAATTTTGCCATTCCCTGAAGCAGTGAATGAGAATCCTTTTGCTCCACATCCTTACAGCATTTGGCGTTGTCAGTGTTCTGGATCTTGGCCATTCTCATAGGTGTGTGTTGTTTAGTCGCTCAGCCATGTCTGACTCTTTTGTGACCCCATGGACTATAGCCTGCCAGGCTCCTCTGTCCATGGGATTTCCCAGGTGAGAATACTGGAATGGGTTGCCATTTCCTTCTCCAGGGGATCTTTCCAACCCAGGGATCAAACCCACATCTTCTGCATTGGCAGTAGGATTCTTTGCCACTGAGCCACCAGGGAAGCCTCTCATGTGTAGTGGAATCTTATTGTCTTAATTTACAGTTTTCTGATGATGTGTGATGTTGAACATCTTTTCATAGCTTATTTGCCATCCATGTATTTTATTCAGTGAGGTCTATGCTCAGGTCTTTTGCCTATTTTTTAATCAGATTATTTTCTTGTTCCTGAGTTTTAAGAGTTCTTTGTATATTTTGGATAACAGTTATTTATCAGATGTTATCTTTTGAAATCTTTTGCTCAGTCTGTGGCTTACCTTCTCATTCTTTTGATATTGTCACAGAAGTTTTTAATTTTAATGAAGTCCAGCTTATCAATTCTTTCTTTCATGGATCATGCCTTTGGTGTTGTACCTGAAAAGTCATTACCATACTCAAAGTCATCTAGGTTTTCTCCTATGTTAACTTCTAGGAGTTTTATAGCTCTGTGTTTTACATTATGTCTTGAACCATTTTGAGTTAATTTTTGTCAAGGGTGTAAAGTCTGTGTCTAGATTCGTATTTTTGCACGTGAATGTTCAGTTGTTCCAGTACCATTTGTCTGAAAAGCTATCTTGTTTCATTGTGTTGCCTTTGCTCCTTAGTCAAAGATCAGTTGACTATATTCATGTGAGTCTATTTGTGGGGTTTTTTATTCTGTTCCATTGATTTGTTTGTCTGTTCCTTTAATAATAGCACACTGTCTTGATTACTGTAGTTTATAAAGTACTTAGCTTAAGTCTCCAAGTTGAGTAATATAGGTCCTCTGTTCTTGTCCTTCAATATTGAATGGGCTATTCTAGGTCTTTTGCTTCTCCACAGAAACTTTAGAATCAGTTTGTCATTATCTATAGAAAATCTTGCTGGGGTTTTGACTGGGATTGCATTGAATCTATAGATTGAGCTGGAAGAGCTATTAATAACTTCTAGACAATATTGAGTCTTCCAATCCATGGACATGGAGTATCTCTCCATTTATTTGGTTCTATGATAGCTTTCATCAGTTTTTATAGTTTTCCATATATAGATGTTGTACATATTTTATTGGGCTTCCCTACTGGCTCAGTAATAAAGAATCTTCCTGTCAATGCAGGAGATGTGGGTTCCATCCCTGGGTTGGGAGGATTCATTGGAGAAGGAAATGACAACCCACTCCAGTATTCTTGCCTGGGACATCCCATGGACAGAGGAGCCTGGTGAGCTACAGACTATGAGGTCACAAAAGAGTCAGACATTACTCAATGACTAAAACAACAACATATTTAGTTAGATTTATACCTAAGTATTTAATTCTATTGGTTGCTAATGTACATGGTAATGTGCTTTTAATTTCAAATTTTGTTTGTTCATTGTTGGTATAAAGGAAAATAATTGACTTTTGTGCATCTTGTATCCTACAATCTTGTTATAGTTGTTTAATAGTTTTATAAGATTTTTAAAAAATTCTTTCAAATTTTCTACATAGACAATCATGTCATTTATGAACAATGATAGCTTCATTTCTTCCTTCCCAATTATTTTTTGTGTGTGTCTTACTGAATTAGGACTTCCAGTGCAAGTTGAAAAGTAGTGGTAAGAGGGTGACAGTTCAGTTCAGTTGCTCAGTCATGTCCAACTCTTTTCAACCCCATGGACAGCAGCACACCAGGTTTCCGTGTCCATCACTAACTCCTGGAGCTTGCTCAAACTCATGTCCATCTAGTTGGTGATGCCATCCAACCATCTCATCCTTTGTCGTCCCCTTCTCCTCCTGCCCTCAATCTTTCCCAGCATCAGGGTCTTTTCAAATGAGTCAGTTCCTTGCATCAGCTGGCCAAAATATTGGAGTTTCAGCTTCAGCATCAGTCTTTCCAATGAATATCCAAGACTGATTTCTTTTAGGATGGACTGGTTGGATCTCCTTGGAGTCCAAGGGACTCTCAAGAGTCTTCTCCAATACCACAGTTCAAATGCATCAATTCTTTGGCACTCAGCTTTCTTTATAGTCCAACTCTCACATCCATACATGACTACTGGAAAAACCATAGCTTTGACTAGATGGACCTTTGTTGGCAAAGTAATGTCTCTGCTTTTTAATATGCTGTCTAGGTTGGTCATAGCTTTTCTTCCAAGGAGCAAGCATCTTTTAATTTCATGGTTGCAGTCACCATCTGCCGTGATTTTGGACATTCTTGCCTTAGAGGCAAGAGAAGCTAGAGGGGGACATCCTTGTCTTATTTCTGATCTTAGCTGGAAAGTTTTGAGTTTCTCAGCATTAAGTTTGATGTTAGCTGTAAGATTTTTTGGAGAGAAAGAGAAAGAAGGTTTTATCAAGCTAAGGAAGTTCCCCTCTATTCCTTGTCTGCTGAGAATTTTGGTCATAAAATTGTGTTATGCTGTGTGCTGCACTGTGCTAAGTCACTTCAGTTGTGTCCGACTCTGTGAGACCCCATGGACTGTAGCCCACTAGGTTCCTCTGTCCATGGGATTCTCCAGGCAAGAATACTGGAGTGGGTTGCCCTGCCCTCCTCCAGTGGATCTTCCCAACCCAGGGATGGATCCCGCACCTCTTATGCCTCCCGTGTTGGCAGGCGGGTTCTTTACCAGTTGAGCCACCTGGGAAGTCCTTAAAAAGGTGGTGAATTTTGTTGAATGCTTTTTCTGCATCTATGAATACAATCATATGATTTCTTTCTCAGTCTTCTGACATGATAAATTACATTAATTTATTTAAAAATGCTGAACCAACCTTGCAGACCTGGGATAAATGCCACTCAGTTGTGGTGTATAATACTTTTATTCATAGTTGGATTTGATTTGCTAATATTTTGTTGAGAATTTTACATATCTATATTTATGAGAGATTAATGTATAGTTTTTTCTTCTGATGTGTTTCTGGTTTTATTATTAGGAAAATGCTGATCTTACAGAATTAGTTAGGAAGATTTCCTCTGCTTCAGTCTTCTGAAAGATTATAGAGTTGGTAGAATTTCTTCCTGAAAAGTTAAATAGAATTCACCAGTGAACCCATTTGAGCTATGTGCTTAATTCTTTTTTTTTGTTGTTGTTGTTGACTGCACCATGCAACATGCAGGATCTTAGTTCCCCAATCAGGGATTGAATCCATGCCCCTTCTAGTGGAGGTAGCAGAAGTGCAAAGTCCTAACCACGGGACTACTAGGAAATTTCAGTGTGCTTAATTCTTGACACATGAATGCTGTGATTAAACAAATGTGACTCTATGTGGAGACTTGATTACACTATGGGGCATTTGAAGGTAAAACAACAGCCTTGTATGTATTGACAGGAGCTTCATCTGCTGGGAGAAGTCAAAAGCAGTTTGGAGCCTCTGCTCAGATCAGAGATCAAGTTTCTCTGGGAACTTCCTTCAACATCACTCACACACATCTACAAGTCTGAGCTTGAACATCAAGTTTGTATCATGTGACCACCTTTTATACCCTATGGCTACACTTGATTGGATCAGGGATGGACAACTGACATAAGCTGGACCAATCAGATTCTCTCTCTCTTCATGGGTTTGGGATAAGAAAAGGCAACTACCTAGTCTCTGCATAGAGTTGGAACTGAGGTGCTCTAGACGCAGGAGGTGGGGACCAGTTGTTGCTGGAGTTGTTCTACCAGATATGGATGAAATTTTGCCTGCTAAGAGAGAAGGATGGGATGGAAATTGATCAGGTTCCTGGGAACAAGCAGAATAAAGCTAAGGAATATGGGATGGGGCAGCTCAAAAGCTCTGACCGGGGCCCAGGAAAGGACAGAGAAAGCACATCATGGGTTGGGGACCCTAGATCTAAGAATGGAGTGGCTACTGGAAAGGGAGCTGTCATGATTCAGTCCTTCCTCCAGGGAACACAGTCAGCAGCAGACCAACAAGGCAGGGAGGTGTCCTCGGAGAGAGTTGGGGATACCGTCACCATCCTCCTCAGAGAGCCAGGTGTTGGCTTGTGTTGTGGGGAGGGGAAGAAAGTGATGTGGAGGCTGAAGAAAAGATCCAAGTCTGGGCTGGAGCAACCCAACTTCCCAACATGGAGTAACTGAGGGCTGAAGGAGGACTGAGTCCAACTGACCTCTGCTCCCTCCACCCTCTGTGTCAAGGCCTTCAGCCACCAGAGGAAAATCATGAATGAAATCCGTGACTTTGGAGACACAAAAAGCCAGAGGGATTTTATTTAAATAGGCTTTAATTAGAAGTGAACTGGAGAGTTTTGTATGCAAATATATTTTGGTTTTTAATTTAGAGCCATCACCTCATCAACTCTGATATGTGACTTCTGTGTTTCTGTAGGTCTCTCTGTGGCTAGGTCTGGTGAGAACCCATCTATTTATATAGTAGATCTTTATGACCTCTTCTTGTCAGCCTCTGTGTCTTCTGTACTAACAAGGTGTGGTCTTGACTTTATTATTCATTCCCATTAATCATTCTTCTTGAAGAATAATGAATTGTCACCAGTCATCTTCCTTTTTCCAGTATCCCAAAAGCATGATGCCTGAAAGTGTGTGCAGGTGAAACTGGGGTGGGTCCGGAGGTATCCTTGGCCACAGCTGCCCGTGTTCGTGTTCGACGCGAGGCCTCAGCTCTCGGAGTCCAGCGGGTAGGAGAAACGGGCCCAGGAGCAGCCCCAGAAGCGCAGGACCACAAACACCGCGACCCCCAGCAGCAAGACGGCACCCAAGGTCCCAAAGAGAATCCCGAAGAAGGCTCGGAATTTTATGCTCAGTTGTTCACAGCGCTTGCCCCAGGGCGTGTAGATGGAGGAGGGCACACAGCTGGGGATAGAGGGGACGCGGTCAGCAGGGGAGGAGGCTGGCGCTGATCCTTCCCATCCCTCCTTTCCTGCCAAGGAGGAGGTTTTCCAGGCAGGCTGGCCCCCCCTCTAGGGGACGGGTGGAGTCAGCCCTGCTGCCCAGCTGATGGAAGACCCAGGGAAACCCAGGCAGCTGTGGGGGTGAATTCACAGAAGGTCCATTCCACTTGGACCGCAGGGAGGGGTCGGGGCTGGCCGCAGGTGAGCATGCGCAGACACAAACCCAGCGCTGCTCCTAGTCCTCCATGGACCCGGTGTGGAGCGGGCTGGTTGTATCTGCAAGTGTAGTGGGGACTAGCGAAGACGAAGGGCGCTCTTGTGATAAGAGGGCCCGGGTGGCGCTGCCCTTCTCCTTAGTAGGCCTTTGGCTCAGCGAGCTCCCCTCACTATTGGTGATGAGACAACAGGACAAAGGGCGCCAGTTTGAGAGGACCACCCTTGAGTGGTAATCTTAAGGAGGGCCGGGTCTAGAACCAAGACAGAGGGTTCCATTTTCACCAGGAGACAGCAGGCTGTCCACCCAAGAAGTAAAATCATGTGTAAGGGTTTGGCTTTGGAGCCTGAATACTGCTACTTAATTTACTGGGTTTCTTATCCTGTCTAAGCTGCAGTTTTCTCATCTTTAAAATGGGCATAATATCCCCCTGCCCCCCAGTAGCTGGTCTGAGTTGCAGAGGTAATAGACTATCTTTATTTTCCACCCAGTTTGGGCCCTCAGACATTTTTTTCCATTCCCCCTTTTCTCTGATCCCTGTTCTCTCAGTGGCAAAGGGAATCATCCTAATTTTCAGACACCATGAGGTACCTGCAGCGGGGCCCATCCGGCAGGTGCTGGCACTGGCCTCCGTGCTTACAGTAGCCCTGACTGCAGGGGGACACGCAGGTGAAGCCATCCTGGGGGCTGTAGACCAGGTGGTAGTCCTTGTAGCCCTTGCATTGGAAGTAAGTTGCCAGCATGCTCACATTCACTGTCGGGTAGGACACATGTGAATATGGAAAACAACTGATTAACAGCAAGCCTATACCTTTTCGAGGAAGAATTGCATGTTCAGGCACTTATCCTGAGACATAATTGGAAACCACAGGAAAACTACATATGTTCATGAAGGTTCAGAGCAGCATGGTTTATAAGAGCAGCAACGTTTCATGAGAGTGCTTTTGTTAAACAAAGCATACTGTGCAACTGATAAGCTCCAGATATGCATCGGTTAGGAGCGTATGCTTTGAAGTCAGCCAGACTGAACTGAAACTCAAACTCTACTGCTAACTAGTTGTGTGATTTGGGAGAAATTTATTAACTCTTTCAACCTCAGTTTCCTTCTTTTTAAAAGGAAACTACCTTGCTTCGATGTTTAAATGAGATAATATATGCAGAGTACTCAGTTGGTGCCTGACACAATAACCCTCAATAAATGGTCACCATTAGTATAACATTCTGTTTAAAATATAGCACGTATGTTCAGTTCAGTTCAGTTCAGTCACTCAGTCGTGTCCAACTCTTTGCAACCTCATGAATCACAGCACACCAGGCCTCCCTGTCCATCACCAACTCCCGGAGTTTACTCAAACTCATATCCATTGAGTTGGTGATGCCATCCAGCCATCTCATCCTCTGTTGTCCCCTTCACCTCCTGTCCCCAATCCCTCCCAGCATCAGGGTCTTTTCCAATGAGTCAACTCTTCGCATGAGGTGGCCAAAGTATTAGTTTCAGCTTCAGCATCAGTCCTTCAAATGAACATCGTATGTTATAAAATATCCAATGGAATGTGTATACAATAGACAAGGCATTATGTTCACAATTTGAGTAACAGGGAGGTTATCAAACATTAGGCATGACTTGATCCTCATATTTTAAAAAATAAATAAATTGATATGTGTGAGGGTCCCTATGCATACAAGAAAGTTCAAAAGAATATGAGCAAAATGAATTTGTCTCTGGGGTTTGGGATTATAGGTGATTTTTTTTTCTTTTTGTTAATCTGTGTTTCCTGAAGTTTCTATAATAAACATATTGTACTTGTGTCATAAAAATTGTGGGGTTTTTGTTTTTGCTACTAAAAGTCAATCAGGTCTGGAGTAGTTATTCCCTTATCCCTAACCCTACTTCCCCCCATCCCCAAACACACACACATATACACATAGTAGTTTGAAGGATTTCAAATTTTTGCCGCTGGGAGGTAGGAGGCTTAGCCTGTATTCTAAAAGAAACTCTTGTTTGATCCAAGTAACAGCAGCTTCTGTTGGGTTTGGTATAGTCCCTGCCAGCTCTCTGCCTGACTTCAAAAAATAGGGTGAGCTATTTCTTTCCTTCTCTGGTAAGTTTGCCAACCTATCTTATTCCTGTTCCAGCATAATTAGGGGCTGTCAGAGTTGAAAGGGACCTCAGAAATCCCACCTCATTTTCCAGGTGGGGGTACTGAGACCTGGATTGGGGATGGCTTTTGCAGAGGGTTACACTTTTTCAGGAAGGGAGTCTCTCTGCCCCTGGACCAGGTCTCCAGCTTTCAACTTAACTATCTCCAGTTGGGGGGCAAAGGCAGAAAGAATGTCTTCGTTTATGTTTATAAAGTGCAATGGCCTTTTAACCAAATCATTAACAGTTTTAGAGAGAGAAAACCCTTGGCAGTGATGGAAAGCAGCAGTTGGGGATTGTAAACATGGGGACTCACCAAGCAGTACTTTGTGCTCCTGTTTTTGAATATAGAAGTCTAGTGAGTAAAATGTTCACAATTTCTCTCAAAAATTACAAACAACAACAACAAAAAACCTAAATTGACTTGCTTCTTATCTGTGGCCCACTATAGACTACATTTCAGCCATGGGTTTGTGTGGGCTGCAGACCTGTGACAAGCTCCCACTGCCTACCTCCGCCCTCACCTATCCCGGGAGCTATCCCCCAAATAGTGACTCACGAGCCATCACACTGTACATGTCCTTCCTGGAGATGGAGTGGAAGGCCACGTTGTTCCTGGGCCCGCCACTTCTATTCCCCCTCATCTGGGGAGCCGGGGGTAAGAACGCCTTCACCACCGCATCCAGCAGCCGGTTGTTCAGGAAGTCAATGACAGGGCCCTTAGGGTGGTACTGGAACTCAGAGATGATGTTCCAGTGGTGAAGGGAGCTTCCTGAGGCTGGTGCTGTTGAGGGTTTACTGTATGGGAGGGGCACAGTGAGGGGCCAAGGGGAGAGGCGTTTGGGGGAGGACCCAGGGACCAGGCAGGGACGGTCCCACTTACGCTTGATCCACTTGTCTGTTCCAGAGAAAGGCCCACACTTCCAGGTTCTTCAGTCTATAGGCCACCTAGGGCAGAGATGGGGATTGGGTGGGGAGTGGAAGCAAGAGTGAGGCCCAGCCCACAGAGAAGACCTTTAATGAACTTATTCCTCCCTGTCTCTCTCTCTCTCTCTTTTTAAAGTGGAGCCCCTTGGCTTGCAGGAACTCAGTTCCCTGACCAGGGATTGAACCCAGGTCACAGGTGTGAAAGCTCAGAATCCTAACCACTACGCCACCAGGGAATTCCCTATTTCCTTCTTTGAATATGAGGACACTGGACCACCAGAATGTTTCTTATCACTTCTTCATCCCCACACCCCAGCTTAGTCTGGTGACTGGCACACATCCCTGCTTAATAGAAGTTTGTTGGTGAATGAAGGACTTTCAATGAATAGCCCCTAACCTGCCTCTAATTCCTGACTTACCCATTCATTCTCTCCTCACGTGTATATTGAACATCGATTATATTTAGCCAGACCTAGGGAACAGTCCGAAGAAGGCAATGGCACCCCACTCCAGTACTCTTGCCTTGAAAATCCCATGGATGGAGGAGCCTGGTGGATTGCAGTCCTTGGGGTCGCTAAGAGTCAGACATGACTGAAGTGACTTAGCAGCAGCAGCAGCAGGGGACAGTCAGGTGCAGGGGATGTCAGTATGACTTAGGAACAGTCCATTCTCAAAGGTCATAGTGTGGCTCAGTAGACAAATGTCAACAGATTTTACCAGAGTGTAGAGTGCTGTAGTAGTAATAGCACCAGTAATAGTTATTTGGATATTTTTTAACACATTGTGTTCTAGGCACTGAACCGAGCACTTTACATAATCATTTAAACCTTCATACAAACCATTGACCTAAGTACTATCATCATTTCTATTTTTACAGATGGAAGATCAAATAATTTGTCTAATCATTATACCTGCTCTAGTGAGTGGTAGTACCAGGATTTGAGCCCAGCTAGGATTCTATATGGGTTTCCCTGGTGGCTTAGCAGTAAAGAATCCATCTGCCAATGCAGGAGATCCAGGTTCGATCTCTGGGTTGGGAAGATCCTCTGGAGAAGGGAATGGCAACCCACTCCAGCATTCTTGCCTGGAGAAGCCCAGGGACAGGGGAGCCTGGCGGGCTCCTGGTAGGGTTGCACAGAGTCGGACACGACAGAAGCGACTGAGCAGCAGTAGCAGCAGGATTCTAGAGCCTCAGAAACAACTACTGTGCTACTGTGCCTGTGATTGGGCAATGGACTAGGGCATCAGAGCCAGGAAGAGGAAGCCCCTCAGGGAAGTCAAGGAAGGTTTCCTGGATGTGAAATGCCTTGTTTCTTCCATATAATATCCAAGTGCAGGTCCCGAGGGATGCTCAGAAGGAGAGGCTGTGTTGACCCAGTCACCCTGGACTCTATTCGTTGCAAGTTGGCCATTTCAGCCCTCTTGGAAATCTTCATCCTGGGCCTTCCTGCCTTCCTCACCCTCAGCCTTCTCTGGAACAAGAGGCTCCTGCCTCTTCCGGCAGTAGAATCCAGGTGGACTCCGGTTGAGACTCAGAAGGCACAAGCCAGGGCTAAAACCTTGCCTGAACCTGCCAAGGTCCGCCCCCCACCCAGAGCTGGCCTGCAGTACTGACCGAGGCGTTGACATCTGCTTGGGAGGCATTTTCGTCTTCAATGAGCGAGAACTGGATGATCCTTAAAGGAAGCTCTGGAGATGGGAAAAGCAGATTCATAATCACCTCACAGGTTTACCCAGCCCAGAAAGACCACCCTATCCTACACTGACAGAAGGTCACAGAAGAAGCGGCCAAGTCTGCTGACCCTCACCCTAGTGCACGCTGGACCATGGTCAAGGTTCCCCTGACTTATGCTGAGCTGTGAGGTCACCTTCAATCTTTTCTCAGCAGACCGCTCAGGCCGGCGATTCCCGCTGTGACAGTTGCTGCCCACTCACTCCCATAGCCTACAGTCTACCACCACCTGAGGGAAATCTGGAGCTCTGTCCTGTGGGTTTGAGGGACTTAGCCTGGCCCCTGGAGTCCCCCATCTTCACCCAAGGTGAGAGAAGTGGGGATGGCAGAGGATCTGGTCTTAACCTTGACGGATGGTTGGAGTGAAATTGTTCCCAGCCAGGAAGCAGCGGGCATCGGTGAAGGCCACGGGGCAGGTGCAGACGGGCTGGCAGCCCAGAGTGTGGGAGATGGAGCACAGGCCGTTGTTGTAGCAGTAGTTCTCAGGGCAGGACTCGTTCTGACAGAGGAAGGGTTTCTCCAGAGCTGCAGGGGGAGCTGAGAGGTCAGCAGCACCACACTAGGCAGCAGGGGGCAGGCCCCAGCCCAGGGAAACCTGCTCCCAGGACAGGCTAGCTTTCTTTCTCACAAAGCCCACTTAAACTATGTTCTGTTTGTGGGCCACTCTGAACCCCAAACTATCCTTCTTTTTCCAGGCATTTCTTTGCCAGGCAACCCTTTTTCTCTCTGCCAGGTAAGGGTTCTCTCACTTCCGCTGAGGGAAATGGAATGTTTATTAGACCCTCCCCATCAGGAAAGGACCCTCTTTCAGGAAAGCCCACCAGCCTGTTTTCTTCACTTCCATCCCCTTTTCTGCATTTATGAGCTGTGGTTTTACCCTCTCTGGTCTCTGCTCCAAAGATGTAGTGGTCTCTAGATTTCACTGGGGCACTTCAGGGGCTTAGTGGACATGATGTCCCCAACTCTGGTGGCTCAGAGGTCAAGGAACAGATGGTGGGAGGAGGACTCAAAGGAAAGATGAGGCACCCATGCTGCCAGATGCCCACAGCAGCTCCTGCCCCCAAATGTCCTGACTGGGGAAATGCAGAGACCCTGGGCCTGGCATATCTGAAAATCCCCAGGAGCCTGAGGGCCCACCCCCACTGGCTTCTGGTTCCCTGGATGCTGCTGGAAGTCTCCTTCCCTCTCCAGGCCATCTTCAGTCTCTTGCCCTGGGTTTCTCCCAACAGTGACTTGGAGCTGCTCTGCTCTGATCCCTCCCCCATGATTGTACAACCTCTTCTCCTTCAGCTTCACACCTACCATACCCACCTCGCCTCCTTACCATACCTACCTGCACTGAACATTCTAAAGGCTCACTGTAAAGTGGGGAGAAATGGTTTGCCCAGCTGTGTCAGGCCATCCCTCAAGACGTCACCTGTCCCCAGAACCTCCTCCTGCCAAGCCCTCGTTCCCAGCTCACGTGCACAGTGTCGTCCATCCCCAGTCAGGTTCGGGGGGCAGGCCTCGCAGCCCTTTCCAGGAATGCACTTCACATTCGGGAAGCACTGCTCATCACAGGGGTCCTTGGAGTAGTTGCAGTAGCGGCCGAAGGTATTGCCATCGCACTTGCAGTCTGCTGTCTAGAATGGGTTGTTGATCACTGGGCGGCCAAGGAGCTGGACCATTAAGGGTTTCTGGGGTGTTTCTGTAATCCACCCTGTTGGTCTGAAAACCGATGGATCCCAAGTCCTTGTCTTAATTATGTCGGTATCCACTGACCACCTTCTCGAACAGGCCCTGGGCCCACCCGACCCTGTCAAGGGCAGGCTGTCCTCCAGGCCGTGTGGCCTCCCTGGGCCATCCCGAGCTCTGTGCCCGGCCCCTGCCCCGGGGTCCCAGCCTCTTCCCTCTCACAGCAAATCCCCTTGCCTGAAATCCTTTCTAGAGTAAGACGGTGGCTAAAACAATATTCTACCATCTCTGGAATACTGGATCCCACGTAAGCCACAGTTTGCTGCTCTCCTTTCCCTTGCTGACTCCCACCCAAGAAGAAGGAGGCTTGCTGCTGAGCAGGGTGAGAGCAAGCAGAAACTAGAACAAGGGCACAGTGGGGGAAGCAACCAGATTCTCATCAAGTTCACGTCTCTCTTCTCTATCTCCCCTACTGGATGACACGCGAAAGCTCCCTGAAATGGAACCTTTCAACACTTCCTACTGTCAAGACTAGGTATCTTGGGATATCTAAAATACTGTATGGATTTTAATCTCCCACCCTCCCTCCCAATCTGTATTTTTTCATTTTCTGCCTTTTGGACTCCTTTACCTCGGTCCTTTCAAGTGGGGATTCTCTGCTCATGCTTCAGGAGGAGGGTGTGTGTGTTTAAGACGTGAAAGAAGTGGTGGGTGATGGGGTGTTGCCAGCCAAACACTTTCTTTTCTGGCTCCCCTCAAAAGTGACAAGAAAAAACAAAAGAGATGGGGCCAAATCCATGACTTAGGCCAGGTATCTTGGCTAGAAACTTGAATGGAGAAGGATTTTTCTCCCAACTGTGAAAGAGATGCTTCTTTCAGTTGGAGGAAGAGAGTAAAAGGGGAAAAAAGGGTTTGGGGGGGCGACTAAGATCAGAGGGGATGTGTACTTCTCTTCTCCAATACTGTAAAAATGACCTGCCCGCCCCGCCCAAAAAAAGTATCTGTGCAGTGTTTCTATGCAGATGGGACCCTAAGCCAACTTACAGGAGATTTGTTTTGTCTGAGCAAAGCACAGAAGCCATGGAGCCTGAAGGGAGGGCCCTTGGAGCTGGGATCTGTGTAAACTCAGGCCCAGGGACTGCACAGGCACCTTCCTACCCCATGCTTCACTGCCTTATTCCAGAACCATGGAGCTGGAAACAACTGGGAAACTCCAAGAAAGCCTGAGGTGGAAGTTTCCTACCAACCTGGCTGAATGGGAGCTGGGAGATAAAAATTCAGCTGAGCTACAAGCATTAAAGAAAGTTCTTTCGTATACTTTCGTAAGTTTGTGACCCGAGATTGGTATCTGCTCTACTCACTACCCACCTCCCACCACACACCTGATACAAAGGAGCTGAAGGAAAACATCCTTTCAATTCCCACTTCCTTTCCCCTCCACAGGGAAACCGCCCCTACTCCATTCTCTAACACTCACCTCCAGGGAGGAGTTGCTCACCCAGCTGGTCTGGTTGTACAAACACTGGCTCTCTGCCTTGCACTCACAGACCACTGTCCTTGGCTTGAGTACAGATGACAAGTTTCCCTGGGCACTGCTTGCTAGAATCTCCAGAGTAAATGGTTCCAGCAACTTTGGTGTCCATAGCAATGTCCCATTCTCTGTCCCGAGGAAGATGAGATCATTGAGAGTTGGGAGCCCCATCTGCTCTGCTGTCTGATACCTCAGGTGCAGATGCTGGATTTCCCCTGCCCCTCTCAGACCACCCCTCTGATCTTCTCTGGTGTTTCCTTGAGCAAGGCTAGTTTCCTGGGGTGGTCCTGATTATACTCCAAGCTGGAGGTGGCACCAGCCCAACTCAGTGGCTGTGGGGCAGCACTCCACAAGGAGAAGGCAGTTGCCCTGCCCCTGGAAGAGACCCCTGGGCTTGCACCAGAATGGTTCATCAGGAGGGGGACAGAGGATGAAGGCCAGGAACCTCCCAACTCTTCTTCTCAACCTCCCAACACTTCCCCAGGCTAAACTGCAGGCCAAACTGACGTCAGCTTCACAACAGCCCCACCATCGCTCTGATTTCACTGCCCTCATCTCCTAGAATTTTGGCCAGCCAGCTTCAGACAGCAGACCACAGTGAAACACTGCTACTTATCAATAAGGACTCTTCTAATCCAACGTGTCTTGTATTTTTAAGAACATCTCCTGAAAACAGTAGATTGAGAAGAGCTGATAGTAGGGAACAGACGAGTATAACTTCTAGGCCGTCACTCTTCAGGATAGGAGCCAAGTGGACGGGAAAATTTCCTGGTGCCATTAATTTGACACCTGGGAGGATGCCATATAGAGCAACAGGGTGCAGCCAAAGCAGTCCCTTCTTATGCACAGAGAAAGAAAATGAGTCAGAGAGGTGTTCAGAGTTCATAATAAGGTCCCTACGGGCTTTGGTTTAGCCAAGAACAGTCACCAGCTTAATTAATGCTGGCAACAGAAGGCAAGTTGCATGCTGTGGCCTTTGACTCTTTTTTTTTCCCTTCAACCACGCTGCACAGCTTGTAGGATCTTAGTTCCCCAACCGGGTTTGAACCCAGCCCCATGGCAGTGAAAGTGTAAGTGCTGAGTCTTAAACACTGGACTGCCAGGGAGCTCTCTGGGCTTTGACTCTTGAGACAGATCATGGTTACAGGCCTGAAATGGGGTCTTCACACCATTCCTGTGAGAGAAAGATGAAGCTTTCCTTGGCCCAAGCACAGAAAAGCAGACAAGGAGAGACAAATTGAGGTAAACACTGTTGACAAACATAAAAATAGTGAGAAATGGACCAAATAAAGGTTTTGTATTTCTTTAAATCTTGTTCCATGTGATATCCTTCTCTTAATAGATAGGCAATGTTTTAAATTTAGTACCTGTTAATTGATATATTTATTATAATAATTTGTTGATTACATGAAGATGATAACATATTTCAAGACTGAGATGAAATGAATCTTTGAATAAATTGTATATGCCCAGAGGCAATCTAAGTAGTTGGCCAAATCTCCATAAGCCCATCACTGCTATTCACTGGGGTTGGGGGGCGGGACACCTATTTGAATTATAGTGATCATTCCTAAGAAATGCTGATCCTGGATATTCCAGTGAAGAAGTGACATGAAGTTGCACAGGATATAATAATGCAAAATTACCCAAAGTTTGACTCTGACCTTACCCACTAACCCCCAGCCAAATGTTCTTACCAAAGAGCTTGAAGTCCATGCAGTTTTCTCTGAGGGTGAATGTGATGTCCTTAGCATTGCTGGTGTAATTAACCACTGTGGTCTGTCCCATGTAGGCTTTTATCACATCAGGACCCTTGATAGAAGGTGGGTACTGATCTGAGACACAAAGAAGGGATGTGGGGTTTAAGGCGGGATACTCTCTTACCTTCTGGGCCATCTCTTTTCAGTCTTCTGGCTTGTGGGAGGCATTCCTCGGGCTGGGACCCATCTCCAGAAACGGGAGTTGGTCTGTGCACCAGGTCACAACCCATGAAGATCAGGCTGCGGTTGTATTGCCCAACCTTCTCCCCAGACAGGATTTATTTCAAGTTCTTTCCTGATCAGAATGCTATGCTGGGTGTGATATGAAGTGAATCAGAGGACAGCGTTGTTCAGACTATTGAGGAGTTTTACATTTGGAAGAGGACTAAAAACCATGAGGGTAACATCATGGGCATTGTGTTTGTCAGGAATAGAGAGGGAGTATAACCTTTTCACTGGTATCTGTGTTTTGGAGCCCTGCTATTTCCATTTCATTGTTTATTCATTCACTTATTCAGCCAGTCACTTAACAAATATTTATTGAGCACCTACTCTATGGTTGCCACTGTTCTATGTAGTAAGGATGCTACAACAAACAAATAATAAAAAAGATGCCTATGAAAATTAGAGAATATGTTATTAACTAATAGATAGTTACAGATGCTAAGGAGGAGAAACAAAACAGGGAAGGCAAATAGGAAGTGTGGGTGAATGTGAAATTTTAGACAGGTTAGCCAAGAAAGGCACTTCTGAGAAGGTGACATTTGAATAGAAACTGGAAGGAGGTGAGGGGCACCAGGTACCTGGGGTAGCCTGCCAGGTACCCTGGGGCAAACTGTTCCAGGCAAAGAGAACTGCACATGCAGTCCGAGTTGGTAGGGAGCCAGGCATGTCTGAGGAATACAAAGAAGCCAGTGGGGCTGGTGTGGAGGGAGTGGGGCTGGAAGTCCTAGGAGAAGAGTTTGGAGAGGCAATGGGGTCAGACTGGATAGGGCTTTGAAGGTCATCGTTAAGGACAGAGTGAGCTGGGGAGTCATGGGAGGGTTTGAATAAAGCAATAGCTTGAGCAAAAGAATCTGTTAAATTTTACAAATGTGTAGTTCAAAGGAGTGTCATGGAAGAGCATCCCCTTATCTGTGCCCTAACTCTGCACACACCTCCCCAGGCCTCACACCACTTACTCAGCGTAGTGTTCATCTGCTGGTAGCGTCTAAATATCTGCCTAGTGTCCTTTCCGAGGTTTTCGCTTCCTGTGGCCAGGACATCGAAGATGCATTGATTATCTCCATGACAAGAGGTCAAATTTTTCTTCAAGGATGTGTTTCGCAGCAGTTGTGAAAGGAAGACAGGAGTGAAGCTGGAAGGCAAATTGTCGTCCCTCTTGCCAAAAGGGCTTGTTCCATTGATTTTCCCTAAAACACATTGTGTGATGCAATGGTGGTGGTACCAGGGTGGGACTCCAGCTATATTCTATTGTGTCTACCCCTTGTGTGTGATGTGTGCTAAGTCACTTCAGTCATGTCTGACTCTTTGTGACCCTATGGACTATAGCTCACCAGACTCCTCTGTCCATGGGATTCTCCAGGCAAGAATACTGAAATAGGTTGCCATGCCCTTCTCCAGGGGATCCTCCCAACCCAGGGATGGAACCCCTGTATATTAAGTCTTCTGAATTGGCAGGCAGATTCTTTATCACTAGTGCCTCCTGTGTCCACCCCTTACCCTCGCTTTATATAGTTTGGGATTGGGGAGGACAGAGTGACTTCCAGATTCTAAGTCTGGAAATCTCCGCAGTAGGGAGTGAGGGCCACCCATCTCCCTCATCTTCTCTTCCAGGTAGGACTGTGGGTGGGATGGGAATGGAGGGCACCAATCTGGGGTGGCGGGGACAAAGCTGAGGTGGCACCAGCATCCCCAGGTCTCTTCCTTTCTACTTGTCTCTCATGAAGGACAGAGGTCTCATTCCCATAGGCCTGAGGGAGACAGTATAGAGCTTCCTTCACCTGGGGTCTGCCCCATCTGCTCAAAGACCCTGAGACCCAGACTCACAGGTCATTCCATAGTGAAAAAGCATCTCCTCGGAGCTCCTTTTCGGTATTGTGGAGCCATTGGGCATCCTGAAGTCGTCATCTGGGTTGCCGTTCCAGAAGCCTGAGGGACGGAGCAGGACTCAGCCACCCTGGGAGGTGGCCCTCCCTTCCCCAGGGAGCATCCAGCAGGGCACAGGGAGAGGTAGGGAGGAGCAGGGGGCCTGGGAAGCCTCTTTCGGTGGCATCTGCTCTGCTCAGGAGGAGGGGAGAGGACTATGACCTCAGAGCCTACCCTCTGCTTCAGGGAAAGGAGGAAGTGGAGAAAGGAGGGAGGGCATGTGGGGGATGGAAGGAGGGTGTGAAGCCCAAGGGAGAGAGGGAGGTGGGGGAAGGGTGGCTGCCGGCCCCATGGTCTCCAGAGCCCATCCTCAGTGGCCCCTCGGCTGCCCTGGGCCTGCAGCTTAGGGAGGATGGGAAGTGAGCCTCAAAGGCCCCTGAAGAGGTCCCACCTCCGCCTCCGCTGAGAAAGGAAAACCCTCCTCCGGATGTCCGCAGGTGCACTGGAGCGGAAGCTGCCTGTGGGCTGGGGATCTGAGCTCTGCTGCAGAGGCAGAGTGCTGCCCGCTCCTTACCCATGAGGCCCTCAGTGTGGTTCTGATACCCCTTCGAAAGGCCGCAGGAGATGTGGAGGATGTTGGAGCTAGCGAGCACAGAGACGGCCACAGCACCATCGAAACTGGCTGATACCGTGGAGCCGTAGTGGGTCATTATGACTCCAGAGCTGCTGAAGATCTCCTGGTCTAGAATGTTGGGAGACAAATGAGGAAAAAGCCAGTGTTGGAGCCCTGGAGGCCCAGGACTTGTCAGCAGTAAAGTTTAAAGCTGCAGAGAGGAAACTGAAAGCAGCTGGGAGATGCCCAGCACGGTCCTTCTCCAGGACTGTGTGCTACAAAGCACATTCACAGGACGTGCTCACGGCCCATCCCACCCTCTTCTCCCTGGGGGCTGAGGATGAGGCCCCAGAGGAAGGAGAGACATGAAGAGGGAAGTTTAAGGCCTAGCTCCAGTGAAGAAGTTGCTCCGGCACAGCTGCTGGAGGGACCGTGGGGTGACAACCATGCTGCTCCACCCCAAGATCACTGCCTCTCCACCCCAGCACCCTGCTCCCCAAAGCTGGGCACCTCACTGACCCTGTGCCAGGGAGGCAGGAGAGGCCCAGCCTACCTTTTGCATCTTCACCATTAGCCTCAAATGCTATGGTCTGGTTATTGAGCTGAACATGGATTGTGTTATTGGGCTTAAGGAGCCATTGAACCTGGAAGGGAGTTGGCAGAGACCTCAGCTCAACCTGCATGGGGCTGGAAACAGCGGAAGGAGCCTGGGGCTTGGACGATGGTGAAAGTGATGGGGAGTGTGACCATGAGGTGATGCTAGCTACCCTGCATGAGGGTGCTTGGCCTGGGCTAGGCTCTGAGCAAGGTACGTTTCAGAGATTAGCTTTTAAATCTCACAACAGCCCTGTGAGGTAGGTATTATTATTATCCCTATTTTACTCTAAGGAATACAAGGTGCTGGATGTTGTTTCTTCAGTCTCACAGGACCTTAAGCCAGTGTCTCCAGGGCTGACTCTTTATTTATATTGAAATACAGTTGATTTACAAAATCATGTTAGGCATACAGAGCATGGTCTTTGGGGTCAGAAAGTAAAGTCGCTCAGTCGTGTCCGGCTAGTTTCAGGTGTACAACACAGCAATTCAAACATACATACATACATATATAGAATATATATATATGTAATTCTTCAGATTCTCTTCTCTTATAGGTTATTACAAAATATTGAGTAGAGTTCCCTGTACTATACAGTAGATCCTTGTTGGGTATCTATGTCACTTCAGTTGTGTCTGACTTTTTGTGACCCCTTGGACTGTAGCCCCGCCAGGCTCCTCCGTCCATGGAATTCTCCAGGCAAGAATACTGGAGTGGGTTGCCATGCGTTCCTGCAGGGGATCTTCCCAACCCTGGGATCGAACCCGCGTCTCCTGTGGCTCTTGCATTGCAGGTGGATTCTTTACCACTGAGCCACCTGGGGAAAGCCTATGTTATTTATAGTAGTGTGTACTTGTTAATCCCAAACTCCTGATTTGGACCACTGCTCTGGCAGGATGTGTCCTCACTGCCTCTAGCCCCTTCCCTTCCTCCTTTTTTTCCACCTGGGCCTCAGTCTCCAGCTGAAAGTCCCTGAGCTAAAGGCTCCATGTAAGGGGAGTGCCCCCACCTCCAACTTACTGTGATAGGGTGCAGGCTGCTGGAGCGGTATTCAGCAGCAAAGCCAATGAAATTGGTGGCATTTGCTGAGCAGGTCTGGGCAGTGCGGCCCTGCAGCAGGAAGGAGGAGTTTCTGTCCTGGGTCCGGATCAGCAGGAAGTCTCCCAGCCCACTGAAGGTGTAATTGACACCATCCAAGGTGGTGATGTGGGGGTCCCCAACTATCCAGGCTGGAAAAAAGGAGGTACCACATTGGAGGGGCAATAAACAATCTGCCTGCAACTCAGGAGACCTGGGTTCGATCCCTGGGTCAGGAAGATCCCCCTGGAGAAGGGAGTGGCTACCCACTCCAGTATTCTTGCCTGGAGAATCCCATGGACAGAGAAGCCTACAGTCCATGCGGTCACAAAGAGTCATACACGACTGAGCAACTAACACATTGGTGGGGCAGACCAGGGAAAGAAGGGCCTGGAAGACTTCAGCCTGGGGAAGTGCTCAGGGAGCATTTAACACTCCCCAGAAGTCCTCTTGCACTTGTGTGCCCCCACCCCATCCACTTCCTCTCAATAGCCCCCGATCCACCACACCTCCCCCTCCCCCAAGGCCATGGGTGAAGTCCCTCCTCTGCCACACTCCACACACACCTCCATCTTCCCTTGTGACTACAGTCCTGCCCCAGGAGCTTGTGCTGTCCCCATTCAAACCCCAAGAGCATATCACTCCCTTGGTCTTCCACTTGGGCTCTGGAAGTGGAAGGGCCGGGCCCCAGCAGCCTCACCGAGACTTGAGGGCTGGTACCCAGCGCAGCTGATGGGGGGCCGCCTTAGCTGGTACAGCGCGCAGAATGAGGGCTTGCTGTTGAAATGGCAACACCAGTTTTGCAGCTCCAGTTCTTGGTCTGTGCAGAAGAGCAGTGTGTTAGTGGAGATGGAGGACCTGCAGGACCCAGCTGGGAGGTTTGGGCAAGATGATAAGGGCAACAAGAATGTGGTTTGGAAGTCAGGCCCACATGAGTTCAGATTCCACTCTGCTCAACAACCTTAGGCCCTGGACCAGTTACTATCTCCCCTGTGGGCTTGGTGGAGACATGTGCAGCAGAGACCCTGGTGGGCAGGCACAGGGTCCTTCCTTTCTTGAAGGCTGAGGGCTGAGACCCACCACTCTCAAAGTGCTGGGAGCGAGAGGCTGTGGCTGGTGGTCTGGGGACTAGTAGGCTGATGCCTTTACAGGGAGGAGGAGGGGAGCACACATGTTCTCCTGGGCCCCATCCCCATCCCCAACCCCATCCCCTCTAGCTCCTTTGAAGGGTCTCTGCAGGAGATGACTCCATGTCTTCCCCCAGACAGCCTGCTAATCTGGGTCCAGGTTGACGAGGTCAGACCAGGCCTCTGCCACTTCCCTAGAAAGATGCCCCTATCAGCTGGGGCTATGGGCCAAGTGGAGACGGGGCAAGAGGAACTCAATCAGAAATCCCTAGGATGCCAGCTGGAAGGGATGCTGGAAACTTCCTGGTGTTACAAGATCAGGAAATGGAAGGGAGGTAGCTGGGAGAAAATGGGGACGAGAGGCTTCATTCTGTTAGTCCCACTGTTGGCGTGGAGCCCAAGCTGGTCCCTGATAGGGAAGGACAGAAAGCTCCAGAAAAGGCGGGGTTGAGTTGTCTGCGGACACACTTACCAAGTTGCCAAGGACTCTGCACTCTCCAGCCTTGGAGCAGCTCTCCCCAGGGTCCGTAGCGGCAGCACACGCCCCCACGCCAGGAGGAGGAGCTGCACAGCTGTCTGCTGCCTGCAACAAGCCCAGACATTCTCAGGCCTGGGATGCCTGTGGTGGGGGCAGCCATGGCATGGGGGTGTTTCTGGGGAGGATTGAAGGGAGCCCCAAAAGGGAAAGGTCAGGCATGGCCAGAGGGAAAGTGAGTAGGCTTAGAGGGACAGTGGGAGTGCCACAAGAGACCGGAAGGATCTGTTACCTCTGCTGATGGACTGGAATCTTAAATCCAATACTCCCTGGTTCCAGGAGCAAGGGCAGGAGATCTGGTTCCAGCCCCAGCTGGGCCACTGAGGCTCTCTCTTCAACCGCTGCAGACACCGGAGACGGTAATTGGGCTTTACTTCTCTGTGCAGCTGGTAGATCTGTAGCCCCCGGAGGCCTGGGGAAGCAAACGAAGAAGGGGATATCCCAGGGCGTGGGGCCACAGGCTCTTATTTAGCTTTAGGGACAAGCAAAACTCATCAGTGCATCCTCTGTGTGCCACTTGCTGCACTCTGGACAGTCTTCCAGGGATGGGCCCAATGCAGATTGGCTGTGATTCCCCCCCAAAGGTCCCTCTGATGTGAGCTTCAGAACCCTAAACTTGGATCTTAGGGTGAGATCCTGGGACAAGAGCTGGGCAGGGAGACCTCATCTGTACCCAACTCAGAGCCAAACCCTGGCCCAAACTTCAGTGTACTCCATTCTCCGCCCTCCTGCCTACTACTCTAAGCTCCAGTTCTTCCAGTCCCCCCAGACCAGCTCTTCCTTATGGACCCTGTATCTCAGTGAGTGATGCCACCAGTCGCATGCTCAGACACTTGTACAGACATACCAGTGGCCAAAGCAACCGGGAGAGAGGCTGATGTTCAGAGGCCAGCTGGGGAGCCACAGGGAAGCTGGCATGTGAAGCAGACAACTGTTCCAACAATATGAAACTGGGGGAGCTTCCCCTGTGCCCAGATGCCATCCTTGGAAAGGGGAGGTAACTGGGATAAGAATCCCTGAAGAGCATTTAAAATTTAGATAGACCTCTAATTGTGCACCTGAGTGCTAAGTTACTTTAGTTGTGCCCCACTCTTTGCGACCCTTTGGGCTGTAGCCTGACAGGCTCCTTTGTTCATGGGACTCTCCAGGCAAGAATACTGGAGTGGGTTGCCATGTCCTCCTCCAGGGGATCTTTTCAACCCAGAGATTGAACTCGAGTCTCTTATGTCTCCTGCATTGAAGGCAGGTTCTTTACCACTAGCGCTACCTGGGAAGCCCAGACATTTAATTAACTGTAAGTTATTTACTGCCCTCCTAGCTGCCATGAGTGAGAAACAGGGCTCCAGAATACAGCAGAATTCAATAGGACATAATGTATTAGATTTGGATCCTATTCCCACACAAAAGAAGAAATCATCAAGATGACTAGTTTGATAAGGTTTTGAAAAGGATAGTCATTTTTTATGATATCTGTTTCTGTATTTTCTCCACAATCAGGAGAAACACACCAGATACTCTCCCCCAACACACACACACACACACACAATCACATCCCTTATGTCACAAGCAGAGGCGTCTGCCTAGAAGGGCCTTAATCTGATAGGATGGAGCTTCCCTCATAGCTCAGTCAGTAAAGAATCCTCCTGCAGTGCAGGAAACCCAGGGTCAATCCCTGGGTTAGGAAGATCCGCTGGAGAAGGAAATGGCAACTTGCTCCAGTATTCTTGCCTGGAGAATCCCATGGACAGAGGAGCCTGGCAGGCTACAGTCCATGGGGTCACAAAGAGTCAGACATGACTGAGCAACTAAATCACCACCAATCTGATAGAACAGCTTTCTCCACCAGATGGCACCAATGATCTGACTTGGCTTATGTTTACTAGGTTTTCTTGCCACAGAACAGGACTGGATTTATGCTTTCATGGTCCACATGGCTAATTTCTAATGCTAAAATATCTTTTGTTCTATTACACTTTGGAAACTGTCATTTCTCTCCCTTTGGCGCTCCCAGACAGTACAAGTCATGGACGAGGCTCATGGAGCCTAAAGTACTGGCCTTCTTACCAAAGTGAGAGCTCTTTGAGAGCAAATAGAGTTGGTCTTTTAAATTTTTTCATACTTCTGGTTCTTAGCACAGCTTCCAGCACACAGCAGGTACTCAATATATGGTGATTGAATGGATGTCAGACCCCTTGAACTCCTCTTGGTAGATCCATTAAGGGATCTCATGTGGGTTCTCATCCAGCTCTGGGACAGGACACTTGGAGACTTGTCTTAACTGCCCATTCATGTCCCTGCCTCCTGCCATTCCCATGTCCTCACTTCCAGGATCTGGGTCCCCCTCATAGTCCTGCTGGCTTTGGGCTGATTCCAGGGAGTACACTCTGCACTGCAAGAGGGTGCAGAAGGTATGCTGCTCCCTGGGAAGTGCCCAGTCCAGATCCCACCTGTGGGAGGTCAGATGGTGTGGAAACACCCTTTTGTGGACATGCATGGGAGTTGCACTTTGAGGACTGTCACGGCACATGGAGTGGGAGACAGAAGAGGACTTGAGTCCCTCCAGTCTGATAAGGTGGTGCTTTTACCTGTGTTGGAATCCAGGAATTGGTCTGGACGATACTTCTCCCATACTGGATGTAATGTCAATTGGCTGTTTTTGAAATACCCATCTCCACTGTGGGAAAAGAAAAGAATATTTGGCTTTCATCACACACAGAGTCCTTCCCCTTAGTCGGCAAGTTGCTCATTCATCCAGCAAGTCAACCAGCCAGTCACCCAGTCTGTCCAGCCAGTCATTAGTTAATCAGTTGGCCCATCAGCTATCGAGCCAGTTGGTCAGTCAGCCAGCCAGAATCACTGACCCCCTGTGCTAAGCAGGAGAGGGGAGGAGGAGGATGGGGGAGGAGTGGGAGGACCTAATTTATCTCACATCTGAACACAGACTGCAGTGAACTGATCCTGAGACAGGGGTTGAAAGCAACATTTCAGGCCTCCTTCCTGTTAGTTTCCCTTCAACTAGGTGTCAGAGACGTGGTGCTATAGGGGATGGTTGGTGGTGCAGGTTAAGAGCTAGTCTTTGAGTTAGGAGGACAATGTGTGTGCCACCCGACTCCCATCCCACCCCACTCCCCTGCCCAGGGGATGGTGCTTAAACCCTGCTCCAGGAAGGAGGAAACCCAAGTGGGGCCTGCAGACTCTCTGGGTCATGCCTCAGAGCAGGCACTCGGATCCTTTCTCCTCTTTGACATGGGACAGATGATGCACGTGAGCGTGACACCTTCCATGCGTGCCCTCAGAATGATGTGAAACTCCTAGCTAGTTAGATAATTCCACTCCTTTCTCCTCCAGGGCATGTTCAAAAGCAAGTGAAAGCAATGTAGTTATGGGGCAATCCTGAACACATTCTAGGAGAAAAGCATTTACAGCAATTACCAGTAACAGATTACATGGGACCTTCACAACCGACTACACATACATCGTGGTTGAAAACTGTTGTGTTAGAGAATGAGCCATTCCCACGCTTGGGAACACACGTCTGCAACCACAGCCCATCCATCTCTCTGCTCTCCTTCTTTGCCACTGACCCCACACAAGCTGTTGGTGCCGTTGGGCGAGAGGTTAATTCTCAGCCCATCAGAAACTAGAGATTATCATACTGAGTGAAATAATTCAGAGAAAGAAAAATATTGTGTGATATCACTTGTATGTGGAATCTAAAAAGAAATGATACAAATGAACTTATTTACAAAACACAAATAGACTCACAGGCTTAGAGAACAAACTTATGGTTACTAGGGAGGAAGGATAGGGAGAAGGGATCGTTAGGGAGTCTGGGATCGACAGGTACACATTGGTATATTTAAGATGGATAACCAACGAGGACCTACTGTATAGCACAGGGAACTCTAGATGAGAGTTCCCGGATGGGAAGGGAGTTTAGGGGAGAATGGATACATGTATATGTATGGCTGAGTCCCTTTGCTGCCTACCTGAAACTATCACAATATTGTTAATTGGCTATATTCCAATATAAAATAAAAAGTTTTAATAAAGTCAGGAAGGCAGATTTCAGCCTTATATTTTGTATTCAACTTCCTGCTTAGCTACTTACTTTCCAGCTCTTTGGGCAATGACTTATCCATTTGTACCTCAGTGTCCTCACCTGCAGAATGGGTAATAAATAGTATCTCCTTCATGGGGTGGTTGTGATTGTCAAATGAAATAATGCCTGTTAAGTACTTGGTGTAATAAATATTGACTGATACTTGACAAGTCAAGAGTGGTTAGCTAATGTCAATGGAAACCCTAGAAATCAAAGCTCTGGAATTTAACATCACCATGCATGGGAACTGAGATAGGAAAGGGAATGGCAGGGTGAAGCGGGATCTTTTCATCTGAAACAGAAAGAAGTGGAAACCAGAATCAGTGTGAGTCAGAAGCATTGGCAAGGAAGAGTCCTGCCCAGTTCTGGGGGACAGAGTGTGTGTGCAGTGCAAGCCCTGCTCTGCACCACCTCTCATTATCTGCTCAGGGCTGCCAGCCTGTCCCTGTACTACCTGGAAAAGCCTATCAGGACAGGGTTGCCCGGTCGCCTGGTCACATTCCACCGCATACCACCGCTTTGGTAGAGAAATAGGGCGTAGGACCTGCTCCCGTCTGTGGAAAGGATGGCCTGGTAGGTGTTGGTCTGCGGGTTGGTTGGAGACAAACAGGGATGCCTGTGAGAGATCTGGGGTGTCCCATCACCCATCCCACACCCCCACTCTGACACCCACATCACCTTTTCCTGACCTCTGAGAGCAAAGGCATGGGCTTAAAATACAGGCAAGTTTGGAATTTTGCAGAGATTCCACCCTAACTGTCAAAGCACCTGCTGTGGTGGATTTGCCTTCTTTGTGACTTCTTTCCAGAGAGGAAAGGTAAAGGATTCTGGGTTGGAATCCTGTTAGAAGAAGGTCTGTCTGAAGAAGCTTCAGCAACCAGAGAGATTAGCCAAGACGTCACAGAGCTGAGAGAGGCCTGAGGAGCTTCCTTTGGGATATTTAAGGATATCGTCCAAATGTGCCCTCATTCTGAATAGCATAGAGGAACCATGCAGGTGAGACTGGAGGTTCTCTGAAGGCAGGTTTCAAGCATTGTGCTTCTACATAGTGAGTAAGCAATGAACTTGCTGAGCCAATAAAGAAATGGGTGACTTTAAACCAGACACAAGGAAGAACTCTGTAACTGTCAGAGTGGTGAGGCCCCAGAGGGAAGGCTAGGGGAGCATGAGGCATGGCCCCTCTCCACTGGATGCTTTTCTGTCAAGAGCCAGAGTCTGGAGTCAGAAAAACCTTGGTTCCAGGCCTGGCTTTGTCATCTGCTAGCTGGGTCACCTTGAGCAGTTGCTTAATCTCTCTAACCATCATCTTCCTCATCTCTAATATGTGGATAATAGCATTAGATTGAGCCATATAATATTGCCAATAGCCAGCCATTTGGGGGGCTTCCCAGGTGGCGCTAGTGGTAAAGAACCTGCATGCCAATACAGAAGCCATAAGAAACGTGGGTTCCATCCCTGTATCAGGAAGATTCCCTGGAGGACAGCATGGTAACCCACTCTAGTATTCTTGCCTGGAGACTCCCATGGACAGAGGAACCTGGCAGGCTACAGTCCATAGGGTTGCAAAGAGTCAGACATTACTGAAGTGACTTAGCACAGCTACTTTTTACTTACAGAAATTGCATGCTCCATGTTTCTGTCTTCTAATACCCAGTGCTCTGGCTACTGTGAGGCATGTAAGCAAAGCCCTGAGGCTACCCCTGACATGTGATAAGTGCTCAGGAGACAGAGCAGGGGGGTTTGGAGGTGGTGGGGATGGGGGATAGGCAGGCAGAGAGGTGGGCTGGGAGGGAAGTGCTCTAATCAGCCATCTGTCCTTGACTCAGAGAGGAGTTTAGAAAAGTGGTCCCTGCTTAGGATTCTAGGATGCCTGACTTCCAGGTGGTTCACAGGACACTGCCCACTGGTCCACTCACCCCGATGGTCACCCGGGCAGGATAGGCAGGGACATGAACCCACGTGATCTTTAGCGTCCACCTGGCTTTGTAGTTTCCGGCCTTTGTTAACATATTAATTGAAGACTCCACCTTCTGCACTAGTGTGTTGTAGTCATCATAGAGAGTCTCATATTCCTAGGAAAAGAAGGCAGATATGGAAAAGGAAATGAGGATCCCGTCTCAATACTCCTGAGGGACCCCCCATTTTCTACTCACTTTAGTCCACCCATGTCTCCCATCCTTCCCCCTCCCAGGCTTATGTTTTCAGTTAGTGACCTGAAGATCAATCTGCAGGGAAACCTGGCATGTATGAAGTGGATTGTCAAGACCCAGAAACCCAAGTCTTCTAACTTGAACTTGTGCATCTCTTAGCATAAACTGGCTCTGATGGTGCAACCACCTGCATCCACTTGTACCTCTCTGGGTACAACAAGAGGCTCATTAAGACAGGTGTGTGCTTCTCCACATTTGGACCTTCTACAGTGTCTTGTCCATGGCCAGGGCACAATCACTATTCGCCTGCAGTAGCTTTCACTACACTGAGAGCTCTCTCTGAGTGGAACGATTAACCCAACCCAGGAGCAGATGCAGGGGCCCTGCTTGATTCGGCCTTAATAGAATGAACCCCCTACAACCTCATTCTAAAATCAAACAGTGGATGGTCAGCCCATATCCACCACCTGCAGTCTTCCGAACATGGTTGTGTCCTAATCAGATTCCTCCCCACCCTCATAAAAGCTTCAATTCCCACCCACTGACAGGAGAGTTCTGACAGCAGGAACACTTGCAAGGCCCTCCACACAGGTCTTTGTCTCTCTTTGCTGGCTTCTGGAGAACCCTGTGTGCTAAGCTTTGAAAGGCCCACCTGGTAAAACATGGTTCCCTGGCTGCTGGAGAAATCAGCATCATCCCAGAATGGAGCCACCATGGCCACAGAGTCCCAGCCTGAAAAGCCTTTAAGGGGAGGGTTGGGGTAGGAGAAAATCTGGTAGTCTGACTTCGGGAAAATGATTTGGCCATTATCTGTGAACTGAGCACAAAGGTTCCTCTGGTTAGCATTCAGGGAGGGAGCATCCCAGCCTTGGGCCAACTCCTGGGATTTGTGAGGGTAGAACTTGGAGATGTTAACAACCCCTGGAAATGGATGGTCTCATCCATCTCCCTGCCTGCTGGGAGAGTCCTGGTACCTAGTTTTCCCACAAAAACTCTTCATTCTTAGGCCAGTCCTCACATCTTAAGAGCTTCCTAAGGTGGTAGGTTTTGTCCTGCTTCAGTGGCAGACCCATCCATAGACCAGCTCACCGAAGAGCAGAGGCCTCTGAGTAATCCCCTTGGCCCCCACGCCTGAAGCTTGTGCCATATCAGTTAGAGCTGAAAGAATTTATACTCTCACTCCATCACTGTGGGGCTCTCTCATAGCGTGTCCTGTCTCTGCCCCCTCGTTGAGGGCCAAAAATGCCATTCAGCCCTCTTCTATGAAGCATGAAGTACTTGGACCAGGGAACCAGGGAAATAATTACAGAAAATTTGAACAGCATCAGTCAAGTGTCCCAAAATAGGGCTTCCTACTCCAAAAAAAAAAAAAAAAGTGGGGGTGGGGGCCATGGAAGCAGTGGAGAGATTACTGGGCCCCAGGACCTCTCTATGAGGTGGCAACACTCTGTCCACATGTGTATGTGTGGTAGGGGCGGCGGGCAGGGTGTAGCCTCGCTCCTTGTCTTCCTCAGCTGGCGCCTTGTCATTAAAGACAGTGTGTGTAAACAGAGCCAGCGGCAGATACATAGGAGGGCCCTGACAAGCATCATAGTCATAGCTGGTCATGGTCACAGGGCCATCTTTGAGCCCTGGAGGGGAAGCAGGGCCCGTGGAATGCAGGTCATGAGTCCTGTCCTTCGGCTGGCAGTTGGGGACTCACGTAGAGGGAATCCGAGAGAAAGGAGCCAAGGGGGAAGCCGATCCGGGGCTTGAAGAGTGGTGAGGTGAAGTCCACGGTCCTCCTGACAAACTCCCGGTCTCCAGCACTTGGCCCATAGGGGAAGAGGAGAACACCTGGGCCGGTACAAAGAGGAGCAGGAAGTTCTCAAGGGCCCCAAAGTCATTAAGGCTGGTAGGGTATTTCACCTCCAAGAAGCCTTCCCCGATGACCCCATGGACTTTAGCCTGCCAGGCTCCTCTGTCCATGGGATTTTCTGGGCAAGAACATTAGAGTGGGTTGCCATTTCCTACTCTAGGAGATCTCCCCAACCCAGGGATTGAACCAGAGTCTCTTGTATCTCCTGCATTGGCAGGCAGATCCTTTACCACTGAGCCACCTGGGAAGCCCTACACTGCTCCCCTGGCCTCCAACAAATTTCTTCCTGACCCCAGCTGTGATGGCGTCTACACAATCTGTTATCTACAAGATTCTCTCACACATCAGCCTTGCTTCTCAGCACTTTTCACCTTATTTCTGGTAACCCCAAATTCTTTGGGGATCTCCTCCCCAGGTGACACTAGGACTGCTTTTCCTGTCCATGCCTTTATTCCAGCTGTTTAGGCCCTCCTGCCCACATGGGGCACTTCCTCTCCCCAGTTCCTGTTTACTCTTTCCAGGAAGCCTCCTCTTCACCTTGGATCCACCCCTGACATTCCCTCAGGGCCTTCCAATAAGTGCACCTAATATCCTGGGCTTGTTCCTCTAATGGCATTGACTGAGGCAGAAGATGTGTCTCTCTCTAAACAGCCCCTTGGTCATTTCTATATCTCTAGCTCCTAGCCCAGCACGGTGTGCAAAGCCAGCCCTCAACACCCAACTCTGATGCTCTTGCATTGTCCCCTGTAGGGCTCTTCTGATTTGAAACAACATAGTCTGTGAGCAAGCAGGATGAGACTAAGCACTCAGTTATCCATCCCTATCAGGGGGATAGGGAGAGCAGCTGGACTTCCCATGACCCAGATGGAGCCGTGGAGAGATCCACAGAACCCCCAACAACTCACAAGGGCCATCATTGGTAGATACAATCCAGCTGCCACAACTACAACCACCACATCTAGCTCCATCCTCTCCCTCCCAGGGCAGAGAGTCTCTAGCTCTATGGAATCACTTGCCTTTCCCAGGGTTAACAGGGACTGGTGCAGCTGTGGAGTGGGTGCCTGTAGAAGTCCCAGGAGTGGAGGTGGTAAGGGTCTGGGAGGTTGTTGAGGGTAGTGATGCTGTGCTTCCCCCGCTGTCTGCCCTCTGTGAGGTTGCGATTTTTCCTGGGCAGGCAAAGAAAGAAGACTGGTGTGGGTCTGACAGTCAGAGAGTAGTAGAATTTAAGAGAGTCACAGACTTTAGGAGCTGGGAGAGACAGCTAGAAACCTGTGTTCTGGTCATCCCCAAACCAACCCCTGCAGTTATCTCCTGGGGTAGAGGGGATGGTGAGCCTGTCACCCACTATACCTGCCACTGATTTCATCTTCTCATGGGCCTGACTTCCAGCCGGGCAGTGCTAGCGCACTGTTCTCTCTCAGGCATTCCTCTGGGCTGAAATGAGCTAACTGGGTCACTGTAAGAGACCAAGACCCCAGAGTCTCCCCTACCTGATGTCTCAGCCTTCATGGTGGAGCCTGTGAATGTTGGCGAAGTGCTGGTAACAGACAGAGGACTGGGGTGACTTGTGAATCGGGTGGTGGAGCTCCAGGTGACTGCAGGGCCAGGGGCTGATTGAGAGAATGAAGAATTAGTGGTGCTTGTTATGGAAAGTGAGGTGCCACCTGAGGTTCCCAGGGTGGTGTCATGGTGGTTGGTGCTGTTCACAGTCTTGTGATAGTGGTAGTGGGCTGAGTTGTGTGACTGTCCCTGGAGGGTGCTGGGGTGACGGTTGTCACTTCATCTGTGGTGGATGTACCCTGAGGAACACTTTCGGAGGTTGAGTATCCACTTGGTTTGAATGAAGAAGTTGCAGATGAGGTTATTTTGATTGTGCTCATCATGGGGGAGAATAAATTCATGGTTTGGATTCTTGTGTGGTCTGTGTGTCTTGTGTGGAAACTATTTGAGAAATAGCTGATGATTCTTGAGGAGAGATGCTGGTAGACAGTGGGGTTGACTGCCTTGTTGGGACTATTATAGTTTAGATGAAGGAGATACAGACATGACTGTTTTGAAGGTTTGAGTCATATTGGAGCTTATGCTGCTGACAAGAATACCCCCAGTGGTCTCTGTCCCTTGTGTCCAGTGAGTCTGGGAAAATGCCACTGTTGTTAACTGAGAAGATGTGCTCAGATAGCGGCATGTGGTTAGTTCTTCCTGTTTGCCTATTGTTGAGACTTTAGATGTAACCCAAGAAATACTAGTGGGGGAGGTGGATACTCTTTCTGTGATCAGTGTACTGGCAGCTACTGGTGTTGACAATGGTTCTTTTTCTGACTGAGTTGTGTGGCTGTCACTGAAGGATGAAGAAGTGAGTGTTATTGTTTTATCTGGAGTAAATGTCTCATGAGAAATATCTGTAGAGATTGAACTTTTAGTATAGGGCCATCCTGTGGTCTTTGTGTCTTTGCTTTGGTGAGGATGGAAAACCATAGATGTTTGTGGAGTTGAAGAACTGGTAGAGAATGGAGTAGATTATACTGCTGACTGCCATGGTGGAGAGCTTTAGAAGTGAATGGAGAAGAACTTCCAGTTACAAAAGGGGATTTGTCTATTGTGTTTCTTACAGTGCTGTCTGTTGACCTTTTTCTTCCTGATATTTTTGATGTTACTGCAGGTGTATGCCTCACACAGGGTGGGACTGAAGTGGTTGTTGTACCTGAAGGAGATGGCCTCTGGGAAGTGCCTTCTGTAGATTTGTGTGCATGTGTCGATGATGAGAGAGTTGATGTTCTCACAGCTGTGATGGTGGTGGTTTGAGTTCCTCTGGTGGTTTTCATGCTCGGATTCTGGTGGTTCTGAGAAGATGCTGATATTTTCCTGGTAGAAGTGGTGAAAGGGGGTAAGGTTGATTGCATCTCTGGTCCGGTTGTCATTGACACTGTGGAGACTGGATGGATATGTCTCGGTAGAGTTGGTGATGTGTTCCTCGGGTTTCCTGCAGTGGTGTCTGCTGAGGTTTTTGTTCCTGATATTTTTGATGTTACTGCAGGTGTATGCCTCACACAGGGTGGGACTGAAGTGGTTGTTGTACCTGAAGGAGATGGCCTCTGGGAAGTGCCTTCTGTAGATTTGTGTGCATGTGTCGATGATGAGAGAGTTGATGTTCTCACAGCTGTGATGGTGGTGGTTTGAGTTCCTCTGGTGGTTTTCATGCTCGGATTCTGGTGGTTCTGAGAAGATGCTGATATTTTCCTGGTAGAAGTGGTGAAAGGGGGTAAGGTTGATTGCATCTCTGGTCCAGTTGTCATTGACACTGTGGAGACTGGATGGATATGTCTCGGTAGAGTTGGTGATGTGTTCCTCGGGTTTCCTGCAGTGGTGTCTGCTGAGGTTTTTGTTCCTGATATTTTTGATGTTACTGCAGGTGTATGCCTCACACAGGGTGGGACTGAAGTGGTTGTTGTACCTGAAGGAGATGGCCTCTGGGAAGTGCCTTCTGTAGATTTGTGTGCATGTGTCGATGATGAGAGAGTTGATGTTCTCACAGCTGTGATGGTGGTGGTTTGAGTTCCTCTGGTGGTTTTCATGCTCGGATTCTGGTGGTTCTGAGAAGATGCTGATATTTTCCTGGTAGAAGTGGTGAAAGGGGGTAAGGTTGATTGCATCTCTGGTCCAGTTGTCATTGACACTGTGGAGACTGGATGGATATGTCTCGGTAGAGTTGGTGATGTGTTCCTCGGGTTTCCTGCAGTGGTGTCTGCTGAGGTTTTTGTTCCTGATATTTTTGATGTTACTGCAGGTGTATGCCTCACACAGGGTGGGACTGAAGTGGTTGTTGTACCTGAAGGAGATGGCCTCTGGGAAGTGCCTTCTGTAGATTTGTGTGCATGTGTCGATGATGAGAGAGTTGATGTTCTCACAGCTGTGATGGTGGTGGTTTGAGTTCCTCTGGTGGTTTTCATGCTCGGATTCTGGTGGTTCTGAGAAGATGCTGATATTTTCCTGGTAGAAGTGGTGAAAGGGGGTAAGGTTGATTGCATCTCTGGTCCGGTTGTCATTGACACTGTGGAGACTGGATGGATATGTCTCGGTAGAGTTGGTGATGTGTTCCTCGGGTTTCCTGCAGTGGTGTCTGCTGAGGTTTTTGTTCCTGATATTTTTGATGTTACTGCAGGTGTATGCCTCACACAGGGTGGGACTGAAGTGGTTGTTGTACCTGAAGGAGATGGCCTCTGGGAAGTGCCTTCTGTAGATTTGTGTGCATGTGTCGATGATGAGAGAGTTGTTGTTCTTACAGCTGTGATGGTGGTTTGAGTTCCTCTGGTGGTTTTCATGCTCGGATTCTGGTGGTTCTGAGAAGATGCTGATGTCATTGGAGATGTGTTTACATTTGATGGGGAGAACATTCTGTCTGTTGAAGTTGGTGCTGTCAACATTTTTGATTTTGTTACAAGCATGTGACTCACACTAGATGCGACTGAAGAGATTGTTTTGCCTGAAAGGAATGTCTCATAGGTAGTTTTCAATTGTGTTGCATGTCCACTTGAAGAAGATGAAGGTAATGACTGCCTCACTGCTGTGATGGTGGTGGTTTGGGATTCTTCCTTGGTCTTTCTGAGCTGAGCCTGGTGGTTTTGAGAAGATGCTGATGTGTCTCGAGTAGTGGAACTGGAAGAAAATGCCTTTGATTGTTTTTTTCCTCCAGCTGCTATTGAGACTGCTGAGGTGACTGGATCAAACTTGCTAGTAACAGAGGGTGATATTTCTTTTGCTTGACCTACAGTAATGTTGGCTGAGGTTGTTTCTGTCATCAGTTCTGATGATGTGGGAGGTGTGTGACTGACGCTGGAAGGGGACAGGTCCTCAGTAACACTGCTTGTCGAAGAAGCCCACTGGGTTTGGGCAGTGCCTATAAATATAAGATACAAGGACTCATGAGACAAGAGAGTTTCCTTCTGTGAAGTTGGAGAGTTTATAACACAATTATTTTTCACATGTAGCACTCTATATCTCAGTGCTTCATAATGAATGGCTGCAGAATTAATTATTAAACCATGTCTAAGAATTCTTTTCTTGTGCTCCAAAATCACAGATTTTATTTTCTTGGGCTCCAAAATAATTGGCGGCAGTGACTGCAGCCATGAAATTAAAAGACTCTTGCTTCTTAGAAGGAAAGGTATGACAAACCTAGACGACATATTAAAAAGCAGAGACATCACTTTGCAGACAAAGGTCCATATAGTCAAAGCTATGGTTCTTCCAGTAGTCATGTATGGATGTGAGAATTGGTCNAGGTTGAGCACTGAAGAACTGATGCTTTCAAACTGTGGTACTGGAGAAGACTCTTGAGAATCCCTTGGACTGCAAGGAGATCCAACCAGTCAATCCAAAAGGATATAAACACTGAATATTCATTGGAAGGACTGATGCTGAAGCTGAAGCTCCAATACTTTGGCCACCTGATGCAAAGAGCTGACTCACTGGACAAGACTCTGATGCTGGGAAAGATTGAGGGCAGGAGGAGAAGGGGACCACAGAAGATGAGATGGATGGATGGCACTATCAATTCAATTGACCTGAGTCTGAGCAAACTCTAGGAGATGGTGAAGGACAGGGAAGCCTGGTGTGCTACAGTCCATGGGGTCGCAAAGAGTTAGAGACAACTGAGTGACTGAGCAAAAACAAATATTCATTTTATTAAAAAGAAAGTATTTTCAACAAAGTTTGACAAAATATCAACATACGACTTTTTAAGCATGTACAAAAACATGTGGTTAGAATCAACTGCAGATAAAATAAAACCTTGTACATATTTTAAGACTAGCCCCCATTCCAAGGTAGCTATGGACCTGGGTTTAAAAATGCCAGATAAATCTATGGCACAAATTCTATTTCTGAATAGGTAAGGAACTATATAAAATGACATTATAATTATAGACAGAAGTTTAACTTGGAAAAAACTCTTTAATATAAGGTTTGATGATTTTTAAAAAGATACTGGATAAATTGCAAATCTAGAAGTTATAAAAAAGTAACTTCTCTGTTCTAGATAAGGGAATTAACCTTCAAAATTCTTTATGTCATCACAAGCTGTTTATCCACCTAAGTCAAAACAATGGATTCCACAGAGATATTCTCATTTGGTCAACTCTTGGCCCATGTTTCTTCAGTTCCTAACCTTTGGTGTCAGCTTATCTCCCTGTTCTTCACACCTCTTCTAACTTGTAAATATACCAAATGGATGAATATAAAAGTGGTTTATTTTATGTATATTTTATGCGTCAGTGGGGAATTAGTTACAAAACCCAGAGGAGAATTCAAATTTCTTCATCCCCAAACTTAGGGCAGCAGTAAGCTTTCCATCTCAGTTGGGATTCTTATTCTCACTAGGTATGCAATCCTATGACATTTTTGACAAAGTTACACGTTTCCACATTATTTCCAGTTTCCGCGCGCGCGCGCGTGTGTGTGGTTTTTGTAAATGAGGAAGCCATGTGCAGCGGTCTATAAACCTTCCAATAGCACCTCCATGGCAAGACCTCCACTCTACCAAAATGACCAGAATGCTAAAAGTAACGTTTTCTTCCAAAATCTGGCAGATTTCCAACATACATTTAATTCCTCCTGCTGGACCAATTTCATCACAAGTTAAACCAACCAAATTATGCTGGTATGGGCAGAAGTAGCTCAAGAAAAACGAAGGGACTAAAAAGTGCTATAACAAAGACTGAGAATTTTATCTATCTATTTCCTTACTAATGTACTTCCAACTGAAACCTGAATCAGTATTCCCAACAAATGACATAAAATTTTTTAGTAGAAGTGTTCTAGAAGAACCCAATTAATCTAAGAACTTTGAAATAAAAACTAAGTATTTTTTCAATAAAGTCTTATGGACAAACCTTCAGTTTGCTGGTTATTTATTATCCCTATAGAGCTGATTCGATCTCTTTGTAATCCCCTGAACAGACTCTTTTCAGTCCCATCTTCGAAACTTTACTCATTCTGTGCTCCATGGAACTCTCTCTACTGTCCACACATTCAAATCTATTCTTTATTTTAAAAACCAGCTGAAACTTACTCTTCCATAAACTATAATTCTATCACCCATAGTTTGAATCCATAATATTTACCACCTATAACTCTCATATGACAGTAATTTAAAGAGAAAGTAAGTGAAGCAGATATGAGCATGGGCTATAGAAGCAGACACCTAGAGGTTTAAATCCAGCTCTATCACTTACTAACTTTATGACCTTAAGCAAGTTAGTTAGCCAAAGTTAGTTATGACCAAGGCAAATTAGCCAAAGAATTGATGCTTTTGAACTGTGGTGTTGGAGAAGACTCTTGAGAGTCCCTTGGACTGCAAGGAGATTAAACCAGTCAGTCCTAAAGGAAATCAGTCCTGAATATTCTTTGGAAGAACTGATACTGAAGCTGAAGCTCCAATACTTTAGCCACCTGATGTGAAGAGCTGACTCACTGGAAAAGACCCTGATGCTGGGAAAGATTGAAGGTGGTAGGAGAAGGGGACGACAGAGGATGAGATGGTTGCATGGCATCACTGACTAGATGGACATCAGTTTTAGCAGGCTCCGGGAGTTCATGATGGATAGGGAAGCCTGGCGTGCTACAGTCCATGGGGTCACAAAGAGTCAGACGCGACTGAGCAACTGAACTGAACTTAGTTAACCTCCTTGTGCCTTTTTTTCCTCATCTGTAAACAAGGCATAATTAAGTATTTATAACACTCAGACCCAACACATAAACTGGAAGTGGTTTGGAGTGCTGAAATAGTAACTACAATAGCTGGAACAGATGGATTACTATTGCTGTTCATTTGACCAGTTGTGTCCAGATCTTTGTGACCTCATGAACTGTACCACGCCAGGCTTCCCTGTCCTGCACTACCTACTGGAGTTTGCTCAAACTCATATCCATTGAGTTGATGATGTCAACCAACCATCTCACCCTCTGTCCATATTCACAGACTACAGCTTTGTGATGAGATCTGAAAGCCGGGTTTGGGTTCATTACCATGGCAGTTTTGGACAATGTCCATGAAGCAGGATTAGAGTCCTGACATTGAGGAGTTCAAGCTGTGAGTCAGCAAGATGGGGAAGAAGATGGTATCCTTCATATCCTGGGCTCCACAAAGTATCAGTAAAGATATTTACAAATATGATGAAAACAGAAGGGCACAGCTCATGGTTTCAGAAAGAAATAAAACAGCATTTATTGATTACAAGCCCTTGGTACTGATCATCCTAACAGTAGTAAAGTGAGTGAGTGAGTAAAAGTCACTCAGTCATTTCCGACTCTTTACAACCCATGGACTATATAGTCCATGGAATTCTCCAGGCCAGAATACTGGAGTGGGTAGCCTTTCCCTTGTCCAGGGGATCTTCCCAACCCAGGGACTGAACCCAGGTCTCCCGCATTGCAGGCGGATTCTTGACCAGGTGAGCCACAAGGGAAGCCCAACAGTAGTAGGGTGAACTGCAAATATTTCAGCAAGAGAGATCATCCGAGCGCCAGAATGAAGTTCTATTGCCATGAAGGCAACATATCAAGACAAAAATACACTATCCCATTAACATTCCTCCCCAAATTTACCAACAGGAAGGAAGCCGAAGTGAAGCATACCAAGCGCCAGAACAATATATGCATCTTTTCTGTCTGGAGCTCAGAATCTGAGGCCCTTTCTCAATGTTTAACCTCAAATGAAATGACCCAAATTAAATGAACAGTGTGAGCAACAGTAACAAATACAAAGGACTACAACCATTCACTGAATGACTTGTAGGATAACTTGTTAGCTTGTACATAGAGTAAACTTTCAGAGCCCTCAACAGTTCTAGACATTCATATGGAACCAGATAGGAGCTAATGCAGAAACAATGCAATTTACAGGGAACTGGCAATGTGAAAAAAGAAAAAAAGACATGTCAATTGATAAAAGCAGTGGGAAGGACCTACAGTCAAAGACAAGAGATGAAGTGCTGACTTTTTAATGAGGTAGACTCTTAGACACCAGAACAGCACAAAGGAGTTTGTGACATGACTGATGTTAAGTCACTAGTGTGTATGTTAATGGGAAAGAAAAAACATGAAGAGGACTCTAAAAGCTAATCACAGACAAGTCTGAGTGAAATGCCAAAAGACCCATTTGGTTGCCTGAGAGTATATATGGAGGAATAAACTCAACATTATTTGAATAGCAGGTTTCCTTTCAATGCCCTATAATTCTTAGGAAGACTGTACAGAGATAATTAGAGAAGAGTAACATATATATTAGCAGGGAGACAGTTTCTTTTTGTTGTGTTTTGGAAGAACAATGAAATATGGTGACTTGAACCCCAAAGAAGAATAAGAAACTCAAATCTGGACTTCAAACTGTTTAAAAATAGAAATAGAGAGAAGAGA